TTTTTGTCTCCAGTTGATATCATTTATTTCTCCCCAAAAATAAATATTTCTCATACTACAAGTATGAGAAGTGTGCTGCAACTACTTTGTTGGGATGAGCTGCCTAACTTTAAAGGAGTACTTTCCAGCAAATGAGAAGCTTTTATCTGGGAACTTGACTTTTAAAGTATCATTATTATTTAGAAGCTATCTAGGCTTTCTCTTTTTCCAATTTAGGACCAAGTAGACCCTCTTGGTACTTATCATCCCAAAGTGATGGACATTGTTTATGATGATGGTCACTAATTTCTCTGTTGAGATTTTACTTCCATAGATGTTGTTTTTCACATCTGTTTTACATACAGTTTTAACATCTGTTCCACCAGTATTTATGCAAACAGAAGATAAATACTTGAATATTCATTAGTCTTATTTTATTTTTATCTTCTGCTTATTTTGCTATGTTTCTGTCATTTCTTCAGCTTCCATAAGCTCTAATCAGAGGAGCAATGAATGAATATTTTATTAAACAGAATGAGGTAAGCCAGAGCTATGCAAAAGAGAGGCCATGTGTCTCAGTCACTTGTACCTACAATAAACTTTGGTTTTCTCAGAATTGAAAATGGATAGAAAGATGGAAAGTATGTTAATGTCTGAAAATTGCTAAGGGGTTTTACCCACTGATCTTAGTTGGGGCCCACTGAGAAAATGAATAAAGCTCATGATTCTAACAGTGTTTAAATTATTAAAATTTTGCATCTGGCCTATGAAAGTGACCTTATGGGAAAGCAGACTAGTACACTTTTGGGTGAAAATATTGGTATCAACTTACAGTTTGGGGAAGATTGGAAAACACAATGTAAGGAAATCTGGGAAAGAAACCTATTAAGTGTTCTTACTCATAAGCGGACCCTGAACTAATACTATAAGAAAGTAATTGGCAATAGCCGGAAACTGCTGGGGGCGAGGGGCAGGGGTGAAGGGTATATAACATCAATAAGGGTACCTGATCTCAAATCAGGCAAAGTGGGGACCAAAGGGGGGTCTCAAAAATTACCTGTACGATGATGTCTTGTATACCTAATCTTGAACTGTACCACACATCTTGAAAATAAAATAAAATGAAAAAAAACCAAAAACACATGTAGAATAATGGAATGTGCCTACCAGAATTGTAAAAGAGGAGAATCTGAACTAGTCCATAAGTCCTGCCTGAACACCTACTCCTGTGTTCAGTTCTGAAATGAGCACTTTGAGATCAGAAATGGATATCTAAAAGGACCAACAGCATGGACATCTTTAGAGACTCAGGGTCAGTTAGGCTGTGCATCTGGTTGATGCTTGCATTCTGCTATTATCCCTGGGGCATGCTCAAACCTGAACTTGAAGTTCTATGCTTACTAACTCTTGAGACCCTTGAAGCTGTGGGCCACTTTGTTTAAAAGTTCTCTCATATTTTGTAAACTTTCACACTTTTTGGTTATTTTTTTATACTCAAGAGACTATGCTAGAATGTTCAGCTGTTGCTCTTCTCTCCTTTGCCTTTTCTAAATCATGTCCAGGTTAACCAGACGTAATTCTTATACCACTTTTTATATGGATGGATGGATGAAAAGTGACCTTGTGTCCTTCTGCCTTTGATACTAGTTTCCAGTGGCTGTTGTAACAAATTACCACAAATTGGGTGGCTTTAAGAAATAAACATTTATTCTCATTGTTTTGGATTCCAGAGTTGAAGATCAAAAGGTCAACAGGGTTGCACTGCCTCTGGGGCCCTAGAAGAGAATTCTTTATTTGCTTTTTTCATCTTTTGGTAGTTTCAAGTGTTCTTTGTCTTGTGGCTGTGTAACTTCAATTTTAGCCCATCTTTCCATAGCCGCCTTCTCACTGCTTTTCCCTCCTCTTTGTGTCTCTTATAAGGATACTTGTGTTGAATTTAGGGTCTACCTGAATAATCAAGGATGATTTCACTTCAAGATCCTTACCTTACTTACATCTGAAAGGACCCTTTTCCCCCAATAAGGTCACATTCAGTTTTCTGGGAAAGAGAAAGTGATCATGTCTTATTGGAGGCCGCTATCAACCCAGTACACCACTTTAGTAACTCTCTTTTTCAATGGTCCTTTAACTCTGGTAACTGTGAACCCCTTTGAATAATCTAATAAGATGTATGTGATTTAACTATAGATAAATACATGTGCTAATAAACACATCTTTATTTAAAATTTAAAGCGATTCAAACTTCATCACCACCACCAAGGCCCAAATTTGTACTGAAGATTGATACACTTAGTCTGTATCCTTCTTGAATACAAATGTCCAAAACTAGCCAGCAATTTTCCTTGGTGATCTGGTTAATATAAAAAGACCAGGATATTGCCTTTTTGCTCTAGATAATATACGTGATTCTGTTAATGCAGAATCATCAAGGTCACCTTAAATATTTTGTCTCTCTGAAATGTTTGCTTATGTTGATCACATGGTGTATGAAAACTCTTAAGCTGCTATTATTATTATTTAACTTGAGATGCACCAAGCCCTATTTCTTTTATCCAATACTGATGTAATTACCCAGGGTAAGGATCTGACATTTTTTCCTGTTACGTCACATTTTATTAAATTCAGCCTATCTCTTCAGTCTGTCAAGACATTATTGGGTCCTGATTCTGCCATCGAGCTTATTGACTGTTTCTTCCAGCTTGGTGTCATCAGAAAATTCAATTTCCATTGACAACCATTATTTTCATGTCTTCAAGTCATTAATAAAAATGATGAACAAGAAAAAACAGACAACAAAAGCTTGCAGCTGACTACTCACACCTCCCTCCTGGTTGATTTTAATGCCTTAATTAGGTACCGTTCAGGCATATAATTTTACTAGCACCTGGCTCATATTTTTTTCATCTTTTTTTCCAAGATGGCTATGGCAGATCCTGTCAAATGCCTTGCTGATATCCAGGTAAATCATGTGCTTTATATTTCCCTGTTCTGTCTGCCTAGTAATCTTTTCACAGAAAGGAATGTGGTTAATCTGACATGATGTATTTTGTGATCCATGAAATAACTGTAAACTATTTGGAGTGGGCAGAAGTGTTTGGGTTAGCTACTCAGAATACTCCAATCAAGGAAGACTTACTGGAGGAAGTGACATTCAAATATGGTAAAATTTTGATAGGCTGGATAGAGAGGTAAGAAGACATTTGTCAAGGTCTTTTTTCACTTTTTTTTTCTTTAGTAAGCTTATCAGCTTTACCCTCCTCTTGTTAAACAAGTGGAAATTTTTGATAAAAGAGGTTCTTTGCCTTGTGGCTACGTAACTTCAATTTTTTCCTGTCTTAGCATAGTTTTCTTCTCACCTCTTGTTCTCTTCTTTGTGTCTCTTATAAGGATACTTGGCATTTAATTTAGGGCCTACCTGCATAATCCAGGACGATTTCATCTCAAGATCCTTACCTTACTTACATCTGAAAAGACCCTTTTTTTCCAACAAGGTCACATTCGGAGCTTGGGAAAGAGGAAGTGATCATATGTTTTGTTAAAGTTTGAAAATGGATTGATGTATACCTTCTGTATAAAATGAATTTATACCTAAAAGATGGAAACACGTTAGTGGATAACCTGGCATCAATGTATTAGATTTGAAAACCACTGAATTTAGCAAGAATGCAAGAGAACAAAGATAATGCAGGAGAGAAACAGCTACATTTAATCTACTTTGCACAGTATTAGACATATATGCAGGGCTCAGGGTTTCTACTACCCACTGCTGAGCTTAAATTCATGCAAAACCTATTCAGTTTTACTGAAGGAGAGACCGTAAGTCCCTCTCTTAAAATCTTTTCAATCTTCTTTCAGATAAAGCTCTAAAAAATTTTATTTAACTTTTATCAGTTAAATAAAAGTTAAACATTCAAAGTTGTTTCCTGGGGTGCATTTAAAATTATGCAATTTATTTAAAACAATTAAATTTTCTTTTCATTTCACAATTTTTGTGTGTCTCTACCCTTCCCATAAGCATTCTCATCTTTCAGATAGCATGAAGAAATGTTCCATGAAGAGAGTCAGTCTCTTATATGTCACTATAACAGTATCTGGGCAGGGGAGAATCCAGACCTGGTAGTGTGATTAAGTCTTGCTGAAATGGAAGCCATCCAATTCCTTGAAAGACTTCAGTTCCCAGCATGATTGGTCTGCTTTAGCATCACTGTGATAGATGTCTTGTATTATAATTGCAAGGCATGCCACCCAAGTGCAGTATGGATGATCAGTCTCTTTTGCCTATTTTTCTAGAAACAATTGATCATTCATATTTATAGAGCTATCAACTGCTGGGCTCTGAAAAGGTCAGTATTGATTATCTAAGTCACACAGGTGGTGTACTTCTTTACTATACATAAATATGAGTTCTTTTTATGAGACTGCTGTGATTTCTTAGGGAAGGAGAAGGGAGAATAGGTGTACACATAATACGCAGTGAGAATTTCAACTAAAATACAGAAATTTAGATTTTACCATTGGCAGTATCATACTTTAGAGTAGCTAATGCATTCCCTTCTCCCAACACACATACATACAATTCACTTTACAGATGAGGAAACTGAGTCCCTGTTGTGGACATAGGAAGAAAAAATGCCAGTGTTTACATGAAGGAGAAATGGGGAGACTGTGTATCTAAGTATGAATGCTGTTTTTTCTGGGTGGTGAATTTGAGGCTGTTGGGTGAATTTTTCTTCTCTGTGCTTTCTATATTTTAAACGCTAATATATGTGTGTAATGCACAATATTACCTTTGCAATTAAAAAAACTGGTTGATTTTAAACCCACTATAAATGACATACTGTTTGGCTGAGTTGTGCAGATAGTGGATTTTCTCCTCAATGGCTCTCAAGGAACTCACTTTGGAAGAACAGCTAAAGTCCAGGCTGCAGTGAATCTTTATCTCTTCCCCAGTCTTTGGGCATTAATGACTGACTGTGGGGCCTTTTCCACTTGTCTTTTCAATATCTTTCCTAAACACTTAGAGTTTTTGGCCACTTCAGCCTCCGCTCTGAATGGCAGTTGGTGAAAGTGGACTACAAATCTATCTTCAGCCGGCGCTGCACCAAGGACGACTATCAGACCTGGCACCTGCTCAATCAGGTACACCCCAGGGTGGGGGCATGCTAGCTTCTAGGAAGAGGAGCTACTGCAAGCCCAGTTTGGTCTCATCTGAGTCTTCCTATTTGGAAGAGGAAGGGAGTAGCCCATCTGAGGTCATAGGGGGAAGAATGGGACACAGGTCCAAACGTGTCTGATGATATTTAAGCACTATTTTGTACCCTGGGACCTATCTATTCATTAAGGTCACTGAACTACCTGGGGAAGAGGTGATGATGATAACTTTGGGAATTGGTTTTTATCCCTGAAGAAATGAGCATTAGACAGATAGTAGGCTCTTCAATGATTTGCTCATATTATCTGTCACTGTGGAAGGTGAGAGCATTTCTCAGGCCAACCTGAAGTAAGAGTCCCAGGACACTGGGAACAGGGCCCCTAAGAAAGTGTGGGGGAGCTGGGGGAGCCTAGCAATTGTGGATATTTATTGCAGTATGAGACATGGGCAGGCTTCTGCATTCTTCAGAACCATTGGGTTCTAGTAATTTGTACCAACTTCTCTTTTTTGTCCTTGACTGGAAATTAGGACTTGGGCATTGTCATGTATCATAGAGGGAGCATTTTGGGCCAACTTTAATTTTCCTGTGAAAATGATGGGGAAAATGTGCCAGAAGTGGACTCCTTTCCACTAGAATTGCCACTGAAACCTTTGAACAATTGCCTAGTGGTCTGTGAGGATGTCTGGAGTCTTTGCATTCTCTATAGAGGTGGAGAAGAAACAGGGTGATGTAGACATCACTGGTATGGGTAGATGAAGGGATGGAAGTGGGCCAGCCTCCTTTAATGTTATTTTTGTGTGATAGTAAAAGATCAACATTTGTATTCTTGAAACCTCTGTATCATTCCTGGGAATGAGACTGCTACATAGAGTGACTAAATGAGAATGAAAAGGCTAATTCTTCTTGTGAAGCTGGTTTATTTCACCTCTTTTTTGTTTTTCTGCCTCTCTCACTACGGAGTTTCTCTTTAAGGGAGAGCCTTGTGTCATGGGAGAAAGGAAAATATTCAAGAAACGTAAACCAGGAGCTCAGTGTGCCCTGGGTCGAGAGCACTCGGGGTCAGTGGTCTCAGAACCCTGTGTCTGTGCTGACTGGGACTTCGAGTGGTGAGTCCTTTGGCATTTCATTACCAATTCCAACCAGATGTTTACCTGTTTATGGGGTGGAAGTGAATATGGAGTTTGGAGCAGAAGGCATGACTCAGAGGTTGGAGGTGAGTCTACTGGCCTGTGGACCTAACCATCCCAGTTACTGGGTCAGAGGGGAGGTCTGCCCCTCTGAAATGAGGACAGGTAGAGGCATGTTCACAGGGTAAAATCACGTTCTATCAGAGCAGCATCTCAAAGGGTGCTTCTCCTCATCTGCATGAAGCAGTCATGTTAGAAAGTGTTGCAGGATTAGGGTTGGGCACTGACAGAGCTTAGAGAGCTACAGTTTTGCATAGTTACCTCCAAACACTTTCACTGAAATTATACTTTTCCATGTGAGCTGTCTCTTAGCATCATTGCCTTTTTTTCTCCTAATGACAAAGACAAAGAACAGCTTTACATCTTACTTACTGATATTCAGATCTCACCAATAGTCAATGACTCCCAAATTTCTAAATATTTACTTTCAGCCCTGACCTCCTTTTCTCTTGATTGGACATATATGTGTCTGTCTGTTTACTTAGCATCCATCTCCTCTTGATTTGCTTGCAGGGATATCAAACTTAATATGGCCAAAGCAAAAGTCTTCTTGAATCCCCCTGTTGGATGCAGCCTTTGGTTCAGTTTTTCTAGCCTTAGTAAAACACATAGCCTTCCACTCAGTTGCTGAAATCAAGATAACAGGAGGGCTTGGCTTCTCCTTTTCCATCACCGTAAGATCCATACAGTTAGCAAGTTCCTTGCAGTTCTACCTCCAAAACACATTCTGACTCTAAGCATTCCTTCCCGTCACCACGGTTATCTGGATCACTCCAAGAGTCTAACTCTCTTTCCACTTCCTCCCGTCACCCTAAAATCCATTTCCCTCACAGAAACCAAAATGACATTTTGAAATTCAAGTCAGAACTTATCACTACTATACTTACAATACTCCAGTGTCTTCCTCTCTTCCTTAAAATATAGTCCCATCTTCTTTCCTTGGCTTGCTCCAATGTGTGGGTGATTTGGTTCTGCGCTACCTTTGTGTCTAAATTCCTTACTGTTTTTCCCTCACTCATTGTATTACAGCCACATTACCATCTTCCCTACCTTAATTAATTCAGGCTTATTCCTAGCAGAGGACCCAGAAAGTACAAGAGTTTCTTCCAAATATCAGCATGGTTGGCACCTTTGAATCACTCATGCCTCAGCAAAAAATATCAGCTTCTCAGAAATGCCTTCTGAGACCACTTAATTTCACTACACCCTGGTATTCTCTAGCACATTTCTCTGTTTTATCGTCTTCTTAGTATTAATCACCATATGAAATGATCATGTTTTTGATTGTTTTATTGCTACCTGTCTTTCCCCAGTAGAATGTAAGTGCTATGAATGCAGGAGTTTTAGACATTCTTCACTGTTGCATCCTCATTGCCTGGCCCATAGTTAACATTTAATAAATAGTTGTGGCATGTTTCTGAATGTTGTCCTTTTAGGAGGGTCTAAAAACCTCTCCAATTCTGAGAATGGGTGCCTGACACTCTGATTCTGGCTGAATGAATCCTTCCTCTGCATCACAGTTGAAAGCTGAAGTTCAATGTGACTATTTTCATAACCCATCCCAGATTAAAAGACAAAGCCAAGGGCTCAGACTTCAGCCTATAAACACAGGAAGGACAGAGCAATGGCAGAGCTGATTTGGGTTTTTCTGGTATTGAGTAGCCAAAGTCAGTCCAAATGAACATAGAGCTGCTGCCCCTGAAATACAGCCCCACTCCATTCATCTTTATTTCATCCAGCTGGTTTTTTGAGCTTGATGTGTACTGGAAGCTATCTTTTGTTTCCTACTTTTTACTAGGAATATAAACTGCAAACCAGCAGAGTGACTATGACTGCTCCCTACCTGCTCTTTGTCCTTGTACTCATGCCTTGGAAAGTTTGGCTTCAGTGAGTTTCATTAAAATGGAATATACTAAATGGAATTTAAATTTGAATAGCAGGGTCCTTTCTGTGGCAGTTTGAGCCTTTGGGGACAAAGAATATTTTCACACTTGGGCAAAATAATTTTCAGTTATTAATCATAATCCAGCAAAATAGTCATAGCAATGAATATAATAGGATACTCATAATTATGACTTGTGACATATTGATGTCAACCTGCATTTTTAGAATATGAATTTCAGGCTTCCTGTGTTGTTCTGCAGACTGACTCCATTGAGGTACACTGTATCCTTGAATATATCATGCTGTATATTCTCCTGTGTCTCTCTGAGCTATGATAGACCACCATTCATTGTGGAGAGGCATCACAAATGAAAAGAAACAAGAATTGTAACATAAGTATTTTATTTTCAGTAATTTCATTAGTATTTACTGCTCTAGACAAAAATTCCAGTACTGCTATTCACAGCTTTTGACCTTGGGACATTTTCTTAATCTTTGTGATTTCACCTCTCCAGCTACAAAATACAAATATATAGCATGTATTTCACTGGTTCCTAAGGAAGAATTAATGAATTCTCATACATCATTAATATAGATGTGTGTTAATTATCATTATATATGTACAATATTATTTATTATTTTATATGTACAATATCATTAGCATTTATCCTAATAATGTACAACATAGGCATACAACACATAGTAGCTGTGTTATTCTTATACCCTAAGGTTAAATGATCCCCACTGTATTTTTAGAAAGTAAACTAGAGTGTACATATCCAAATAAGCATTGTCTTCAAAGTAGTATCTTTGGATGTAACCCATTTATCTCAGTACTGGTGGCATTATTTGAAGTATTTCTGAACACTTCTTTGGGAACTACTGTCAGAATCCATCTCTAAGCATAAAGCATGGTCAGTGGGGAGCCTTTGCAAGACTTTCTATGTTTCTCATGCTTGCATTGGTAAAGGTACCTCATGGATCCAAGACTTTGTAATGTCAGGATCTTTATTCCTATCATTTTAATGAGAAGAAAATGAGCATCTTAAATATAAATTATTTGACCAACGTTTCATAAGTGGGAGAGAAAGAGCTGGGGTTCAAGTGCAGGTCTAGCTAAATCCTATGTTCTCTCCTTTACACCATGTCATTTCTCAAGAAATTAAGCATGTCTTTATTATTTTAGATTTACTTTATGTTTCAGGGGGAAAAAAGGTTTCCAAATTTAGTTATTCTAAAATTAAAACTTATTCCCAAATGACCTAGGTTTACTGCTGTTGAAATTTAACATAGAATGTTTCATGACGAGTAAGTCTAAAACAACTTCAAATGAAGTAGTTTTGCCCTTAGTACTAGAATTGTAATAATAGGCAGAGGGCTTCCAAGGAGAGTTTATTTAATGTTTGTATATGTAAGACATGTATGTTTGCATTTCTATAGCCAATGGCACCTCTTATTAAAAGGAAGATAGAAGAGACACTTGAGCTTGAAGCAGGGTAGTCAAGCAGACAAAGCTATATGATGGGCTACTGGTCATAATCTGGAAACAATAACCAAAAAATTCACATGGCTTAAAAAGTACTTTTTTTTTTTAACCACTCTGAGTATGGGAGAAATAGTTTTGATTCTGAAATTTCTCGATTGTTTACAGTGATTTGGGGAGACAATAAGTATGGTTATTTGAAATTGTCTGTTTTTAAGTCAACTTCAATTAGTATAGCTACTGGTTAAAAAAAGATAGTTGCTTGTCCTAATGATAATATTAGAAATCAGTGTATGGAAACAGATTTATAGCCTTGTCCTTTCTCAATGGTCCTCCATTGAAAATATTATCAGCCAAGGAATCTGAAATGCCCAGCTCAGTTAGTGCAAGCAATTATTATGCACATTCCACTTAGGTATTTTCCTAAGCCAGATCAGATCAGAACATGTTCATTTGATTGGTCCAAACAAAGTTCAAGTCTCAGAGACAGCAGAGAGAGGGTATAACCTAGTTTAATCAGACTGGGGAGGATGAATTAAATGTCTTCACATTGGCAGAATTGAGGGGTACAACCTGAATTCATAAAGGGAAGATATTTTCTACCTGTATTTCTCCTCTGCTAGAAAAGAAGAAGTTTTATAGATTTCAGAAGCATTTATTTGTAGAAAAACATTGACTTTCACAACTTTAACCAGAGCAGGTATCAGTAATAAGTATGAATTTTGCATAAACATTGATGTTTCAACTGAAAAGCCTTATAAATTCCCAGCCTCAAGCTTACTAGAGAGTCACTTTACAGAAAGCTCCATCATGGCACTGGTGAAGGCCCAAGAACAAATCCTCAGTGAGAATTAAGGTTGTCAGACACTAGTAGGTAGAGGAGGGAACATATGAGGGCTCTTGGGAAGGAAGAACCCTTTGGGAGATCCAAATACATTTGTTCAGTGAGATACCGGGGTAGAGCAGAGGTTATATCCAATGGTTCTTTTCTCTGACTTATCCAAATACTCTCTCATTCAAAAACTTTTACAGAACATCAGCTATGTACCAGGTGTTTTACCCAGTTTTTTAGATAATGAATTATCTTACTTAATCTTCTCAACCAACTCCTGAAGAAGAGTCTGTTATTATAGGCACTTTAGAGAAATAAACACACAGAGAGGTTAAGTAGTTTACTCAAGATGATAACATTCTGACTCCAGAGTCTTGAGTCAGAAGTGACTGCCTTCCATATCCAGTATAGTACCAGATTCACAGAGCACATTTATCACAGGATGATATAGAAGATAGAGGGGAAGAGATTTCAGGGATGCCACAGCACATACATTCAGATGTGTCTGAAATCCATTCAACTTTTAGTATTCTGCATATGGAGCGCAAACAAGCATTTTTGTTTTGTTTTGTTTCTATAGTGGACAAGTCAAAGTATAAACAAAACAATAAACAACGTATAAAAAAGAGTTATTACACCGAAAGAAAGCATAACAGAAAATAATAAAAGCATAATTAAATGCTGAATTTTATGCTTCAGAACTACGCTATCCATTATACTAGCCACTAGTCCCACGTGGTTATTTGCATTCAAATGAAATAAAATTAAAAATTCAATTTCTCAGTTGCTTTTGTTAGGGGTTACCCTATTGAATAGCATTCCACTATTATGGAAAGTTCTAGTACTAGTTCTGACTATATGTGCTAGAGGTGGTCAGAACAAAGAGATCACTGATACATGAAGTAATCTTGGAAGGCTTCCTGCAGGAGGAGGTGGTGGTACTCTGTGAATTTCCTGCTGAGTTAGTAAAGAAACATAGACAATCCTTCAAGGAAGTGGACAAGAAACTGACATAAAGAGAATAGATAGATGAGAAAGTTGGTTGTTGGTGAGGAGAAGCATAAGGCAGGTGGTTAAAAAGGATTATGTCAGGAGTAATACTTGAGGAACTGTTGTTGGATTTTTCCAAGCAATTCCTGAAGTGATTAAGATATAATTATCTTTCTTTATTGCTGTATTTAGCCTTATGCCTTAGCTAAATGGTAATGATATTAATTACTAATCCTTTGTTTTTGTTATTATCGTGGCTGCTTCTGTTTGTTGACACTCTGTCCCAAGAACTTCTATCTGCCTGATTCCAAACCTGCCATGCTATATGGCCTCCGAAAATGGGACAGGGGTATCTATAGATCACTGATGCTAGAATCTCAATTGCCACATAGGAGGATGGAGGAATTGGGAGTCAGAGAGGTATGATAGAGCCTGGCATGGTCTGAGAGTTGGGCAACCTCTGCAGCTTGTGCTGAAGACACCATGACTTTTGAACTGTTCTGGCTGTCCCTTATTTAGAATTGGTCTTTTCCCTGGCCAGGATTTGGAAGACATATAGGTTCTTGGAAGTGGACAAGTTTCCCCCTAAATTTTAGAAATTTTAAAGCTTTTATAGTCAAGAAAGACACAGAAGTGACTTATTTCTTGAAGGAAACTGCATGAATGTTTGCAGAATCTGTGGCAGCATGCTTTCCTGAGGCAAATCAAACTTTCTGGTGCAGTCTGTCCAAACTTCAAAATTCAACAGAGAAACACCTTTCCCCAGGAAGCTGGAGCAGCCACTGGAGCTGCTTGTTTGTCTAAATCATGCAGACTTAAGAGCTGGGAGGGAGGCTGGACAGTATGAGAAATTTTAATACATATTTAGCAGAAATTAATGAAGAAGCCCACAGCTTGGGGGCAGCCAGTTTCTGCTAATGTTTTTAAATATGAATGAGGTGCTTTTATTCTTTGGGGCAAAGCAACATGCCTGATGTACCTTTTAAAATTACTGTATTACTAGCAGAGAGCAGAGCTGAACAGAACTGCTGAAGACAGTTACATTTGGCAAAGAGCATGAAGACAGCTTTTCTCATTCCTGAAGGTACTTAAGAGAGTACCTTTCCTTCATAAGTAACCAACATGTTCTACAGTTAGCAGGATATTTAACACATCTAATTCATAAAGAAATTGGGAAATTTTACAGAAGTAGAAAGCAGACACGGCACAGCTCAATGTTTTCACGGATAAATAATGCTTAGAAATAAGATATTCAGTGGTGTACTGGTAAGCATGCAACTACCAGTTCTCTGGGAACAAGCAATAAACCCTGTTTAGTTTTTGCTAATTGTCGTTCACAGTCCCAACATGACAGATTTCAACATAACATCAGTGAATGCAGGATTGGGACAATATAGGTAGCAGCACAGCATTACATAGTTACAGAATATTCCCCCCATACAGATACATACATGTAGCTAACCTCAATAGGATAGATAATATCATAATTTATATATAATACACATTGTATATAATAAAAAAATACAATAGGAATGTACGTGTTTTCAGTATTTGTTACCTTTTATGTAATTTAAGTTTTATGTAACTTATTTTTTAATAGTGGCTTTGCTTAACAACCATTAATTAGCTTGGGAATTTTAACAGTGAGCTCTCATGAGCTATTACAAGTTGGCGCTACACTGAGTCAATGTGAACTGTCAGGCTGGAAGATCTTCTAGAGTTAATTAGGAGACTTGACAAAAAGTGTACTTGGCAGGAATGTTTCTTTCTTCTTCCTTTCTTCTAGTTTCATTTAAACATGGCCATATCAAAGCCAATCTTGAGTTTCACCTTTATGTGTAGCAATCCACAACTCTAGTCACACACCACAGGAATCTTTCAAGATACTCTCTGGGTTCACGCCGGAGTATCATTTATAGCCTCACAGTCTTCCTGCAGAGATAGATATAAAGGTGACTAGAATATCCATTCACTCAACAAATATTTGCTTAATACCTGCAATGTCCTAGGTACTGTTCTGAACTCATATTGGTTAAAAAAAAAAAAAAAAGACAAAGATTATTGCTCTTCAGTAGCCTCCATTTACAGTTTCTAACATGTTATGACTCCAAAGATTTTATCTGGGGCATCAGGGATGGATTCATATGACAGATATCAAAAATTAAGTAGCAGACTACTATACACAGAAAATGATAGAGGGCTTCAAGTCCAGTGCATAACACATGCAAAGATAAAGAGGGTTGAGAGGGCTGACTAGGAGTGTTCAGTTAAGTGTTTGGTAGAAGAAAATGGGTGACAAGGTGGGGTGGGGTCAGAGAAGATAACGTATATTAGTTTTTTGATCAATTGGTACTTCTTACCAGTACTATTTAATGCTCTACAGCATACTATATTGTTTTGTCCTTTAGCTGGGTATAGGGGATGTGATATCTCTCTCCCCCAAAGTTTGAAAACCCTTTGAGAATAGGGATTGTCACACTTCTTCCACAGAGAAGGGCACACATTGAGTGATAAATAAATGTGAAATTAAATTCGTAGTCCCAACTCCCCTTCATTCCTATTCTAGATATGCATACATATAATTTGTCTCTGTTTTTGTTGGACTTTCACAAAATCTTGGCTCAAAGAATATGAAAAAGAAAGGTATGAGTGCTAAGAAAGCAACTTCCTTTCCTGTTGCTTTGTGCTTTATCAACACTCAGTGGATTAATACTTGTATGTCCAGTTTATTCTACTCAGTCTGTGGGTTTGAGGAAACCTTAGGATGCTTAACATAGAAGCATGAATTCTGTTGCCAAGGGAAACAGCCCTCATGATGGGTTACAAGAACAACAATACCTTTTACCTACTTTATTGCTCTTCTTCTACTTGACATTTAAACACTTAAAAGCCTTATGAAACTCCAAGAAGTAAGGAAACATGTTTGAACTTCAGGTGGGGACCTTCCTCTCCTACACTGGTCTGTTACTTCCTCCTTTTGTAGTGGGAGAAAAGGAGGAGAGTATCAAACTTTTGTTTCCTCATTTTGTTATGGCTAGAATTTGGGGATTTTACAGAAACACAGAAAAGGGCTACAGTGTAGTTTTCTTTTATTTTTATTTTTTGAGAAATAGGACTCTGTGTCTTATATAGTCAGGAAGAACGTCTGTGTGTATACATATGAATGCGCATTTATATATTTGTTTGGGAGAAGGTGAGTTTGCAGAAAAAATGAAAATAAAATATATGAAGTCAATTTTGGAGCAACACATATTTACTCATTTTGCAGTAATGTATCTTGACCTTTAAAGTCATCCTCCTGGTTATCATCTACTTATTTCAATAGTTCTACTGTGACCTAAAATATTCTTTTATAGCATCCTCTAACCTTATTCCCAGGCCAGTGTACCTGCCACATTATTTGTATCAATACCTTTTTAACACCTAGAATTTCCACTTTATTATTCATGACTTTTTTCCTATACACTAAACTCCAAATGACTTGGGATTATTTCTAAATCTAACAATCCATTTTCAAAAGAATTAATGTTTGCCCTCAATGGAAACATTTAAAAATAATGTTTTGAGTCTTTTTGGTTCATGATAGGGATATGTGTGTGTTTGTGTGTGTTGGTGGGTATTTTAGCATTTGTATATATTCAATTATGCAATATTCATTTTCCTGACAGTGACTATGGCTATGAGCGACATGGGGAGAGCCAATGTGTCCCAGCTTTCTGGTACAATCCAGCATCTCCATCAAAGGACTGTAGCCTTGGTCAAAGCTATTTTAACAGCACTGGGTAAGTAAAACACCTGAAGGAACTCAATTCACTGCTTTCCTGTTTCCCTAAGTTGTGATCAAAGGGAATGCATTGCTACTGAAGAAGATGGAGTGTAGATAGAGTTGTTTATGACAAATGGCTTTTGAGGGAAACAGAGTTGTTTAGCCCAGAGTATCTGTTTGGGGAGCATCTGAAGAAATTTCTGGTCAACCAGATTTTGATACCTTTTGCCATTTACCCGTGATAGACCATAGTTATTGTTTTACTTAGGCCTTTTCTTTTTTTTTTTTTTTTGAGTTGGAGTCTCGCTCTGTCACCCAGACTGGAGTGCAGTGGCCGTTCCTGGCCACCGCAGCCTCGACCTGCTGGGCTCCAGCGATCCTTCCACCTCAGCCTTCCGAGTAGCCAGAATTACAGGCGTACGTTACTACGCCCGGCTGATTTTTTGATTTATTGTAGAGAGGAGGTCTCGCTGCCCAGGCGGGTCTCGAACCCGCGGGCTCAGGCAATCCACTCACCTCAGCCTCCCAAAGGCGCGGGATTACGGCTGAGCCACCGAGCCCGGCTCTACTTAGGCCTTTTCATCTGGAAAGAGATGCAGCCTTATTACTTGAGCCTCGAGTTTAGTAAATTTTAATGCAAGTGGTATGCAGATATTACAGTGTTCTCCAGTGATAGATGAACTGAAGCTCTCATACACTGATGCTGAAAACTTAAAATGAAATTTTAAAAGTGCCATTCTAGAAAACTCTGGAATAAAAATGTCACGGTACACACAGCTTTGATGCTGTCCATCAAAAGAGGACTGGATTAAAAAAATGTGGTACATATACATGATGGAATACTACACAGCCATAAAAAGGAACAAAATCATGAATTTCGCAGCAACCTGAATGGAACTAGAGTCTATAATACTGAGTGACCTCTCACAGAAACAAAGATCCGAGTATCACATGTTCTCACTCATATAATGGACCTTTAACATCCAGTGTAATAGTATAAGAAAATGACTGACAGTAGTGGGAAACTATGGGGGGGGGAGGTGGGATTAACAGTAGCAAATATCTGTCTGGGGATGGGGAAACACCTCTTATCAACAGGGTGCCTGAATGAAACATATTTGTATACCTAACCCTTAACTGTACCCCACAAAACCATAATAAAAAAATATTGATTATTGATTAAAACAACAACAACAAAAAGATAATTCCTAAATTATGTGTATTTCTCTTTTTGTTTACTCATTAGTTACTATTTCAGGTACTTAAAAAAAAAGTTTCCTTGGAAAGTTGTTGTTTTGCCTTTTCCTTTGCTGCCTCTATAACCCAGGACAAATTTGGCAAGTAGATGGGAGATCTAAAATAGCACTTCTCAAATTTTAATGTGCCTGTGAATCATCTGAGGATATTGTTAAAATCTACCTTCTGATTTGGGAGATCTGAGGTTGAGACTCTTCATTTCTAACAAGCTCCCATGTGATGTTGATATTGCTGGTCCCTGGACCACTCTTTGAGTAGCAAGGGACTAAGTAATTCTGGACACCAATCTTACTCTTCCATTGAATCTTATGTCATCTCTGATAAGTTATTCGCTTTCTTGGTACTTTTACCATACCTGATTATAGCATACTGGTGGGTACTATTTACCCAGCTAATATCAACAGAAGGGAAAAAAAAATGTGAAAAAGAAATGTTGAGTGGTTGGAACTACTCTGAAAAGCATGGCATTTTAGCCAAATATTTCATTCTGAGAAGATTATTTTTGGAGTCTAAGTTGGAATTTAAGGACTTTTGGTGTTATTTTATTGTTGGAGTCTAGTTTAGGGATTTAGGCCATTCAAACTGCAGATTCAACAGCAGGAACTTAAGGAGATGTGATGTCAGAGAACAAAGTTCTAGGAAGTTTGAGGAAGGGAAATATAATGGGTACAGGTGATCAGCTGGGCCACCAAATTTCCAACCAGATTATAACTTGAACATAATTGGAGAAGAATTGTATTAGGGCATCTCATATGATCATGTGACATGTATAAATAGACCCAATTTTAAGCAACTTAGCCATACCAAAACCCCAAATAGACAACAAAATAAATCAAGAAGAGAAAAGGGAAAAGCCCCTCCAAAGGATAGACTATAGATGTCTACCATTATCTCCAAGATATGTAAATGTTGTCTCATTGAGTTGATGGCCAGTTGAAACTGAAGAATAATAAAAAATACCAAGCTTACATTAAGACAGGGTTCTCACTGAAATATCTATTATCAGTAAAAAATAAACATCTTATGATGAAAGGTCAGTAAAAATTGATTACAAAAGTTTGTTTATCTGGACCACTGATAACCAATGAACTATAATGTGAGCCACATATGTAATTTAAAATTTTCTAATAGCCAAATTAAAAATGTAAAAAAGGCTAAATTAATTGTAATAAAACATTTTATTTAGCCCGATATATCCACAATATTATCATTTCAACATACCACACTAACTACATTTCAAGGGCTCCATAGATAGAAACAAATTGAGCTACCATATTGGACAGCACAGCTCTAGACCTCTTATGAGCTCAGTTGGAAATTAAAAATGATATATATCTACAAGAGAATATATCACAATTTCATCTGAGACAATAACTACATACAACATTTATTTAACGTACCCCTGAGATCTCTGAATGGAAGTGTAACTCAGCAGTGGGGGAAGTCAGGGAAAATGTCAGGTCTGATAGAGGACGAGTATCATTCAAGAAGAATTCAAATTTCTCTTCTTCCAAGATCTCCAGAAGAAAGCAACATAGATGGATTGGTTAATTATTCTTGGCATAAAATATGAAAGAAGGCAAGATATGATATTGATAATGATGATGGTGGTGATGGTGGTAGTGGTGGTATGCTTATTTATGTGATTCTACCAGATCATTAATTTTAGTTTACCCTTACAGATAGTGATGTGTCTGGAAATAATGTCCAGCACGTAGGTTAGGGTTGCAGGCAAGCTCTTGACTTGACTTCACATGCTGGGGTTGGTGGGCAAGGGAGAGGACATAGTATCATTGTATATAATTACGTCCTTATCACAGAAAATCACAGTGCTTTGTCATGTGGTTTTTTGGCGCTGTTCTCCTCTGTACGGTAATATTACCTAGTGGGATTGAATAGGAGTTTCAGATTTGTGCTTCTGATTTGGATTTTATGTTGAGTGAAAAATGAAATATCAGCAAAGAGAAAATATCCCAGTGACTCCGGAGTAAGGGCTATTAGGCATTAGGGGAAAGAATGATATCCTGGAGGTAGAGGGAGGTTAGGAAAAGGCATTCTGATCAGAGTTAGAAGAAATCTGATGTTCTAGCTGCTTTTTTGGCACAGAGAAAGCTGGAGATGGCCTTAGGGAAATAGAAACAGTTCCCTCCTTCATAGGGAGAAGCACCTGCTTTTCCCAATTCCCTAGTCCAATGAGTCTGCCTCCTCTTTTGTTGTATGTGAGTCAGATATTGATTTTTCTTGTCTGGTTTAGACTCTGATCCAATCTGTGGCTCGCCAGGTAGGATCAATAATACTGTTTAAGGAGCTACTCTTCCTGAGATAGAGGGAGGGATAGCAGTTCCTCAGCATTTGTTGAGCTTCATAGCTGTCTGTCTTCTTTGAAACTCAGTTTTTAGGGGCAGCTGTCTTGCTTTTGCTCTCTTGCCTTCTCTTTCTAATACACACAAACTACACCACTACCAGTTGTCAATTCTCCTTAGGTACCGCCGAATTGTATCCAACAACTGCACAGATGGGCTGAGGGAGAAGTACAGTGCCAAGGCTCAGATGTGCCCTGGAAAAGCTCCCCGGGGCCTCCATGTGGTGACGACTGATGGGCGCCTGGTGGCAGAGCAGGGTCACAATGCAACCTTTATCATCCTCATGGAGGAGGTAGGTGTCTACCTGGGTCTCTGAGGTCATCTCACAAGCATTCCTTTCCCTGTTCCCAAAGAGGAAAGAAAAGAAGAGCTTACATTCCCCAGCAGCAAAACCAAGGGTCAGAAGCTGAGACTTCTGGGGACAAGAGTAGAAGATGACTTGAGATATTTAGAGACACTTCTCCCTTTATTGCACAACAAAAACCCAGGCTGCCATGGGGGCCCACTTGTCACTGTGGCATGAAGAGCTGAATATATTCTACAGGGTTCCTTTTCAGAGTCTGCTTTGCTGAGGGAATGTCTATTACCATAAGATCATAAACTGTAAACTTTGCCAAAAGAAAGAAATTCAAATTTTATCCATTACTTTTAGGAGGCTCTTTTGCTTTATTCTGTCCCTTAATCCCACTGATTAGAAAAGCCCTCAAAGCTTTTAAAAGGTCTTGAAAGTATGAGTGTGATGGTGGGGAAGATTATTGGAATCCTTTTAACATCTTTATAAAGAATGTTGTATTAGTTGCTTTTCCATCAGCTAGATGCTCCATTAGATCACGTTTTAGTGTTTTCTGCAATTTGAGCAGTGAAATCAGACTGCATATATTCCTTCTATTATGGGAATGACTCTGTTGTCTGTTTCTTGTTCCCTGTATGAACACTTAATTTCTTCCCAAACTAGGAACATTTCAGGCTCTCCTTGATGGCGGTGAAGCAAGAAGGCTTTCCTGATTGACAAAGCCCTCTAAATTTATATGCAAATTACTCTGTGCTCCTGAGGTCTTGGAAAGAGGGCAAAGCAAGCCAGGAGTCTTTTTATGTTTTATTTTCTCCCCCACAAGTATGAGCACTTCAGAAACCTTTAAAGTCAGGACCATGCTAGACAGGATAGTAAAAGTTCCTTATCCTAGGCTGACAGATTTTTCAGCCTTCAGTCATACAAGATGCTTGAATTAAAGGACTTTAAGATTCAGAGGAGGTCATTATCACATTTCCACTAGGGAGTTTCCAGGACCAGAGCTATAAAAACCTACTCTTGAATGGATATGAAGAGCCATGATCTTATCCATTTGAATTGCCTTCAGTTCATTTCCACTTTAATTTATATTCATAAACTCAAGGATAGTTGACATTGTGTGGGGGGCAAGAGAACACCTATCAATATTTCATTCACATCTGGGCTGCCATAGGGGAAGAGATGGAAAGTGAAACTATGATCCTTCACATTGATTGGGCAGAAGGACTGACTTGTAATTACAAAATGTTGTATTTCTCTCTTTATTCCATCATCCATCATTATATATGAACAGAGTGATACTATTCCTCAACATGCAGGATCTTTGCTTTGTGTTGAGGTTCATTGTATTCACCTAAAGTGTTGGCCCAATATAATGGGGAGGGATCAAGAGGGTTGAGGTTCAGCACTGTTCCTTAAGAAGCTAAGGGCTGGCTTGGGCTGGTAAGATACATTCATCTGAGACATTGACATCATGTCACCAGGAAGCACCCAGAAAGCTCTTGGTCTTCCATAAAGCAGTGGTGTCTATGAGCTAAGATGGTCAGAGAGGCTTCAGGGAAGAGGGAGTTTAGGTAAGTTTAGGGAAGTCCAAGGATAAGATATATAATTTTGGATAGTAAGCAGGATTCATTTATAAAATGGGAATAATTGTTTGACCTCACATTCTTATTTTGAAGATAGCATTATATAGCATGAATTAAATGATTAGCAAGTTCATGGCACATAATAAATACTAAAAAATCATACCTATAGCATGGCAGTTGAGAGCATTAGTATTGAAACCAGACTATCTGGGTTCAAAAGTTGGGTCTTCCACTACTCGCTATGAGACTTTGGTTGAACTACTTTAGTTTTGCACACATTTGTAAAATGGGATGATAGTATTTTCTATAGTATGAACTGTTAAAGAGATACTTGCTTGGAACTACAAAAAACAAAACAAAACAAAACTGTGAGTAGCAGCTATTACTGTGATTGCTATTATTATTATTATAACAAAGAAAAATAAAAATTAAACCATGTATATGAGAGAGTCAGGGAAGCCCTTGGCTGTCCCACTTCAGAGTTTCATAGAGGTTCTACATTATGTTGCCAGTGTTATAACAACTCAGGGTGCCCCAAGCTTGGGCATACAGGAACAATAGGTCCATAGTGCCCAAGTGGATATTAGATAGGTGTCTGTGTTGAGGATGTTTCTGAGGACAAAGACTGTATGTTCTCAGAAGGTGATGCTAAAGCCACAGAAAGACACATCAGATAGGAGACGATTTGGACCATGTGAATTGACCCAACTGCCATCCCCTTTTGCAGGGTGATCTCCAAAGGACAAACATCCAGCTTGATTTTGGGGATGGGATTGCCGTGTCCTATGCTAACTTCAGCCCCATCGAGGATGGCATCAAGCACGTGTATAAGAGTGCAGGAATTTTCCAGGTGACAGCCTATGCAGAGAACAACCTTGGCTCAGACACAGCTGTCCTCTTTCTGCATGTGGTCTGTAAGTAGCATAAACCACCCTCCTTCTTCCTTTCCTTCCAGTTGGCAGACTTCCAATAATTCAGAGCTGAGGCCAGGTTCAGTGTGACTATTGCTGTGACCTAAATCAAAAGATTGAGAAGCATACTCATTTCTGTTTCAGATTTTTATGATACTGAAATAAATTATTTTGAAAGTTTGGATCATATTACCAACTGGCCCCTCATTTTCAGCACCACTACTTTGATGTAAATGCACACATGCACACGCATTCAGGTTTGTATAGGTTCACATTCGGGGAATCCTGAAAAGACAAGAAATAGAAACCCATCTGGTTGATGATCTCAGGCTCATTTTCAATTTATCATAAGGAAAACAGCATAAGTCAAAGTAATTTCTGTTGGAAGAGCCAAAGAAGGATTAAAGGAACCCCTTTAGATTTTTTAAATGTAGTACTAAACACACAAAAACATTTAATTTTTACATCTGAGATTACTGTAAGTTCATTCTGTTTTAATACTTCTAAGAATGCTTCAAAAATGATGTGTTGTCCTAGAATGTATTTCACTGCTATTGGCCATTGCTTGGAACAAGCCAAATCAGTAGTTGAAGTTCCAAAATATTTTGTTTGAACTGAATTCATTTTGTGTACAGCAGGAACTTAAGTATTGTGGTGGGTCAAGGAAATGTTGTGGGACTGGAATTGGTTTCCTATACCTTTATTATTGACATTCATGGATCTAAGGACTTTTGTGGTTCTTACCCACAATGGATTTTTATGAGAGAGTCAGGGAAGCCCTTGGCTGCCCCACTTCAGAGTTTCATGCTATATATGGCATAAATTATAAGTTTGAAGAGTCTAAGTAGAAGACAAGCAACAATTTTCCTGTTAGCAACTCAATGATGGCATAAACTCTACTATATAAACAACTTACACTTAAGATATCCCTGGCAAATACTACGCTAGCTAGTCTGCTATCTCTCCAGTCACAAAACTAGTACAAGGTTTAGTGACAGGGATGTGTGTGAGAGGAGATCCGGATTATAGATCAATTATGTTCTTTAAAATGCTAGTCTACGTGAGCATGAGATAAATTATTTCATCTCTGGATCTTCTAAACTCCAATTTTAAAAGAGCTTTATTCTCACTGCTACCTTGCCTCACAGGGTTTTATAACCGTAAGCTCATAAAATACCCTATCCTTCACTAATTTATTCAACAAATATTTGTTGAGATCTTAATATGTGCAACGTACTCTGCTAGGCACAGGGGGTAACTGTAGATATGGTCCTGCCCTTAGAATTTATGTTCTACTGGGAAAGGTGGGGGAGCTGCTGAAAATTGGTCATTAATATGCAAAGTGGTGATATCCACACCAAACCAACTACTGTCATTCTATGCCAGAAGCACCAGGTCAGAAACCCAGGTGGGTGGTATGTAAGGTGTTTATGAGCCCAGGTTTAGAGCAAGGGAGACTTGTGCTTGAATTCTGATCATGTTCCTTTGTTGCTAAGATTGGTATACTTCCTTAACCTTTATAAGCCTCTAATTGCTCATGCTAAATACTTATCTAGTAGGGAGACTGTGAGAATCAAATTGGATAATGTGTGTGTGTTCCCAAGACCCCCACCAGGTTTGTGATTCACTAGGAGGATTCATAGGGCACAGCATATAGTTTAATTCATGACTATGATTGATTTATTGCAGTGAAAGGATACAAAGCAAAATTAGCAAAGGAGAAAGGCTTAGAGGGAAAGTCTGGAAGAAACCAGTCACAAGCTTCCAAGAGCTCTCTCCCCATGGTATCACATAGGACACGCTAACTCCTCCAGCAGTGAGTTGTAACAGCATGTGTGAAAAAAAGAAACTCATTGGAGACTCAGTGCCTATAGTTTTTTACTGGAGGCTAGTCATGTAGGTATCCATAGCCTGGCACATACCAAAACTCTAGGTGGAAAGCAGGTCTTTAGAATAAACCATATTGATTGCAAGATCAACTTAGGCAGAGTAAACCACTCTTATCAGCTAACTATTGACTGGGAGCCAGCTAAGGACTGGCCTTGCATGCAGACCTTTCTAAGGACTGCAATTTCAGTCTCTTACTTTTTTTGCAGTGTGCAGAACAATACTTAGCACCCAGCTTGGCACATGATGAATATTACCTGTTATTGTAGTAATTACTAAGTACTTCCTATTAACTTTCCCCCTGACATTTTTGCTACATTTAAAAATGAAGACAAGGAAAGAAAATGGACTTTCTTCCATTCTAAGGACCTGCCCCACCCATATTTCTGATTCTGCCATGAGTGGGCTTTGCCTTCCACATGTGAAGGCTAATGTATCTTAGTGGCAAAAAAACACAACAGCAAGGAACAGGTTCATGCTGTGGGTTATGTGCTCGAAGGAGGAAATGTTCCTTGAAACTTTTATCGTGCTCATAATTCCCTCCAAATCAATCATGACTGCATTTACCAGACAGTTATTATAGTGAAAACTGCTCTTGGCCTTACCTTGGGCCATTAGCTAACAAAAGTAGTTGTTATCTGCCCATAATAACCAATCTCGCACAGATTATTAGATTTTTATCAAAAAGGGCACTATTTGACAGTGAAGATTTTAAGAGTTTGCATGTTTCCTCCTGAATCCCTTCAGATATTTTTTCTTCTAACTGATCCTTAGTTTGTCTCTACACTGGAAGTTGAAGTTTCTGACTCAGGAACTTTTCTCAAAAAGCTGTTACATGATGTTGTTTCTTATAATTATTTTTAACAAACACACTTGACCTCAAGCTGGAATAAAGACCATGTATGATGGTGTTCCAATTCATGAAAGCCCTATCCCTTTTGTGTTTGGCATGAGTGTACAGAGAGGAGGTCTCCTTTTATCTTTCGGTCATTGAGAATGTCTGATAGTGTCAGCCCTGACGGAGTCAAGGTCCCTGAGTGACAGAAAGCCCAGAAGAAACTCTAGGGCCACAAGCCATAGCTACATCATTGCTTAACTGTGGAAGAGCTCACAGTTCCCATGAGGTGGCTTGGGAAATAGGCTTCATGCTTTTTGGGGGACTAGTGGTAAGAAGAGAAACAATGAGTTTCAGGGTAAAGGGAACCCCTTTCCTAGCAGGGGAAGAATGAGAGATCTGAATGTGGGCATGGAAAAAGAGTCTAAGGTGTTAATATAAGAACTAAGGCTGCTCATCTCCCTCCTGAGATATGGACTAGTCAGGGACCCCTTCCCAGAGCCTCTTTCTCTTCCTCATTGATCAGTGAAACAGACAATAAAGAGAAATAAATTAGGTAAACCATCAAAAGTGACTAAATAAAGCAGTGAAAGTGGGCATTGTTTCACACCTTGTGCTTTTTTTCCTCTCATCTGTCTAAAAGAGATACTCATTAGAGACTCAGTTCCCATAGTTTTTAGTGAGGACTTGGCATCTTTGCCTGGCATGTAACAAAACTCCAGATTCCCAATGGAAAGCAGGTGTTCAGAATAACCATGCAAAATTATACAAAAATAATAATTCAAATTTTATTATTTAAAATAATTAGACCCCAGCCAAGTGTGCATCTAAAGTGACAAGATTGAAATTATTTTTTGGAATAAATCTTGAGGTGCCATATATCTGGGGACAAACAGAGAGCTTTATTCAGAGAGCATTTTCAAGCTGTAGATACATAGATTCTTGAACACTTGTTGATTGTTCAGGAAAGTACAATCTGAGCTAGCTTGTCTCCCCACACAAACAGCAGTTCCTGTCCAAATAAGTTTTCCTTCAATATAAAATTACCTATCACACAGAACAAGCCCAGTGAGATTCAGGAAAATACCCACTAGCCTCAGAGGGACTTCTAACTTCTACTTCAAAATATGGTGGTAATAGTGGGGAGTAGTGGTAGAAATCATGCAGGCCAGGCACGGTAGTTCATGCCTGTAATTCTAGTACTTTGGGAGGCTAAGGTGTGAGGATTACTTGAGGCCAGGAGTTTGAGACCAACCTGGGCAACATGGCAAGAACCTGTCTCTACCAGAAAATAAAATTAGCCAGGCATGGTAGTATGCGCCTGTAGTCTGAACTACTTGGGAGACTGAGGCAGGAGACCAGAAGTTTGAGGCTGCAGTGTGCTATGATCATGCCACTTCACTCCAGCCTGGGCAACAGAACAAGACCCTGTCTCAAAAAATAAAAAAGAAAGAAAGAGAAAGAAAGGAAGGAGGAAGGAAGGAAGGAAGGAAGGAAGGAAGGAAGGAAGGAAGGAAGGAAGGAAGGAAGAAAGAAAAGAAAGAAGGAAAGAAAGAAAACCACATATAATTAACTATATGGTAATTATATGGTACTTTAAACCACACAACACTTTCATATGCTCTTACTATTATAAGGAAGACAGGGCAAGTGTTGTTTCTATATTTTTAGAAAAGGATAGTAGTTTCTATAGGATTGACATTCTGGAAGATAGAAGAAAAGATCATACAGGTAAATCTGTGCCAGAGATTAAATGAGAAGCATCCTTCTGCTTTCTTTCCTTTAAACTTACCTGTCTCCAAAATTGCTAAGAATACAAATAATGAAGACTAGATGGCTTGAAAAATGTTCCATCTATAAGAAGAATTCAAGGTCCCCAGGCTAAGGAGATGTCCTTACCACAGTTGTGACCTAAGACCTTTTTCATATTGAATTCTCTTTAGTTGTGTTGCACTCATCAAATCAATAAAAAGGTGGAAACCAGAAAAATTTGCTCTATCATGGTATGAAGAGATAATTAAACTACTTTAGTTAGATTTGATTATATAGGAAGGATTATTAGGTAAGGGAAAGAAGGAAAGAGGAGGAAAGGAAGGAAAAAAGAGAAAAAGGAAAGTAAGGGAGGAAGGGAGGGGTACGGGAGGAAAAAAGGAATAAGTGGGGGTTGTGGGGAAAATCCTGCAGAGTTAAAAAATAAAAATAAAATATCTACCCCTGAAATGCAATACTGATACATTAACATATTTTCATCAGCATTTTCTTCTTCTCATTTTATTTTAGAAATGAATTAAACTAAAATCTTCACTTACTGTGGCAAGTGCGTATTCATGTATGTTCTTCTCCTTGCTACTTTAGAATGTGATGCTGCTTATACCAATTTTCTGAAGGAAAAAAAGAGACAAGTTTGGTCATCTTTAAGCACGCAGATTTTTAGAAATTATTTAGGAGTCTGGCATTTTTTTTAATCCTTGGATTCAAGGAGCTATGCTTTCCCCTTTTTGTAAAATGGCCTTGCCAGCTTCTGAATGACACCCACTGTGTGTACTGCAGATGACAAGGCACAATGGCCAATTGTTGAAGGGGATGGAAACCAATTAACAGTTGAGGATAATGGAACCGGCATCCATACAATGCGCTGACCCCAAATCACAATGCAGGCTAATCATCAGAAACAAAATAGACTGCTGTTTATCTTCCTATTTATTGGCTAAGTGTCTAGTGAACTAGCTTTGTCCTTGGATTGGAGGTTCATAAGCACTCGTGGTTAGGTTTATCAGATATAAATTAAGTTCAGATGCCACTCAAAAATCTGAAACCTGATTTGTGTTCCTTGGTATACCCAGTGCTTCATTTCAAGCATGTGCACACACAGTCACACACACTTCCCAACTTTTGTGAGTTTGTGATTTTTCCTTTATTACAGGGGATGGTAATAGGAATTAAGAATCTAGTGTGTAATAAAGTTTGACCATTTATTCCAGGAATATAAATACAGACCTTGTTTTTCCTCTTCCCTTAGGTCCTGTGGAGCATGTTCACCTCCGAGTTCCATTTGTCACCATAAGAAATAAGGAAGTCAACATCAGTGCTGTCGTGTGGCCCAGTCAACTGGGGACCCTTACTTATTTCTGGTGGTTCGGCAATAGCACAAAGGTTCGGCCCTTTCTGATCAGTGTCAAATTCGATCTGTACTGAATGCTTCTATGCTGTAGCTTCTGTGTGGCTCTTGGGGGCACTGGGGATGCAGGCAATAAGACATGCTTAATAAAGCTGTGAACCCACAAAATCGAACACTACGTATCTTCCCACACCAGGTTCATTACTTTAATAGGGAAAGTTCAAATAATCCTAGAGGTGTGATAGTACTTTCAGAAATGATACAAATCTGCATGTTCTTGCTTCTCTAGTCAGTATTTCCAAAATTTCATTTGCTCCATTTTGTTTTAATCTTGGCCTTTTCACTCACTAGTCACATAATATCAAGGAAGTTACTTAGTATCTCTGATATTAAGTGACTCAGTCTTTGGAATGTGAACTAGATATCTAAATGCAGCGTTGTGAAAATTAAAGAGAATAACACCTGTAAGCAGCCTTACCAATAACTACTAGGTGTTCTGCAACTGCTGGCATTCTTTTTAGGAAAGTTACTGAAGTTGTCACATCACAAAGAAGGAAACGAAAGCAGCCAAAGCTGGGTTTGGTGGCTCAGCCTGTAATCCCGCGCCTTTGGGAGGCTGAGGTGAGTAGATTGCCTGAGCCCGTGGATTTGAGACCCACCTGGGCAACTTGGCAAGACCTCATCTCTACAATAAATGAAAAATTAGCTGGGCATGGTAGCGCATGCCTGTAGTTCCAGATACTTGGAAAGCTGAGGCAGAAGGATCGCCGGAGCCCAGCAGGTTGAGGCTGCGGTGGCTGGGAGCGGCCACTGCATTCCAGTCTGGGTGACAGAGTGAGACTCCAACTCAAAAAAAAAAATGAAAGAGGCCAAACTCTGGATTGTCTCTATACTCCCTGCTCCCAGCAACTGGTGATGGAATAGCTGTGTCAAGAATGACACCATTGTATGGTAGAAGCTTGAGCAAGTAGGCTGAGGGTTCCTCAATTTAATTAATCTTCTTAATATTCTTCTGTGTTTCTTTAGAAACCTTTTTTACAAGCAGTTTTAAGTTCACAGCCAGCAAAATTGAGAGGAAGGTACATACAAAGATTTACCATATATTCCCTGCTTCCACACATACACAGCCTTACCCATTATCAACATCCCCCACCAGAGTGGCACATTGGTTATAACAGATGAACCTAGATTAACATGTCATTGTCACCCAGAGTCCATTGTTTCCATCAGGGTTCATTCCTGGTTTTGTACATTCCATAGGTTTAGACAAATGTATAATGACATGTATGAGAGGGGATCCCAAAAAACTCACAATTATCCTTTTGAAGGATGGCCCTCTTGTAGTACAGGCTCCCCCTGCTAGGTAATGTTCTAGAAACCCATCAAAATCAGTGTCCCAGCTAGCATTGTTGGGTAACACAATTTGTGGAAGAAATGTCCCCCAAGTTGTGGCAAACAAGTGACTGGTTCTTCCACCATGACAACACACCTGCCCACACTGCACTATTTAGCTGTTTTGTTTTTGTTTTTGTTTTTTTTTACCAAAAATGGCATAACCCCCACGCCCCACCCTCTCTATTCATCCAAGCTCACCCTGAGCAATGTTTTTTGTTTGTTTGTTTGTTTGTTTCCTGATGAAAAAAGTCCCCAAAGGGATACCTTTTGCTGATGTGGAAAAGGTGAAACAAAAGAATGGCAGAGCATTAGAAGGCATCAAAATTGACAAGTTTAAAGACTGTTTTAAGCAGTGCAATGGAAAAAGCATCCGATAGGTATATTGCATCAAACAGAGAGTACTTTGAACATGACTGAAGTTTAAACATGTAAGAATAAGTACACAATTTTTTATAAATAAATTCTGGAGTTTGTTGAGTCCCTTCTCTTATCTAAAATGTATCAAACACAATTGTTCAACTGTCCTAAAAAATACTGTGTTCCATCCGTTCATCCCTCCCTCCCTCCCCACTAACTCCTGGCAACCACAGATCTTTTTACTATCTCCATAGTTTGCCTTTTCCAGAATGTCATATAGTTGGCATCAGAGAGTATATAGCCTTTTCATATTGGCTTCTTTCACTTAGTAATATGCATTTAAGTTTCTTCCATGTCTTTTTGAAGCTTGATAGCTCATTTCTTTTCAGTGTTGAATAAGGTCCCATTGTCTGGATGTATCACAGTTTATTTACCCATTAATTTGCTGAAGAATATCTTGGTTGCATCTAAGTTTTGACAATAACAATTAAAGCTGCTGTAAAAGTTCATGTGCAGGTTTTTGTGTGGACATAAGCTTCCAACAACCTTGGATAAATACCAAGAGCATGATTGCTGGATCTTATGGTTACAGTATGTTTGATTTTGACATAAACCACCAAGCTGCCTTTCAAACTGGTTAGACCATTTTGCATTTCCACCAGCAATGAATGAGAGTTCTTGTTGCTTTACATTCTTGTCAGCATTTGGTGGTGTCATGTTCTGAATTTTGGCTATTCTTATAAGCATGTAGTGGTATCTCATTGTTTAAGTTTGCATTTCTCAAATGATGTATTATATGGAGCTTTAAAAAATATGTTTATTTTCCAACTAATATCATCTTTAGTGAGTTGTCTATTAAAGTCTCTTACCCATTTAAAAAATCAGGTTATTCCTTCTCTTAATGTTGAGTTTTAAGAATTCTTTGTATATTTTTGGATAATAATCCTTTATTACATTTGTTTTCTGCAGATATTTTCACCCAGTCTGCGGCTTGTTTTTTCATTTTCTTAACAGTCTTTTGTAGAGCAGAAGATTTTCATTTTAATGAAGTCCAGCTTATCAATTCTTTATTTCATAGATTGTGCCTTTGGCATTGTTCTAAAATGTCATTGCTATATGTAATGTCATTATGATTTTCTCCTATGTTATCTTCTAAGAGTTTCATAGTTTTGAATTGTCTTAGTCTAGGCAGCAGCTACCCATATTTCACTAGCCTACCAGCCACAGCAGCAGCAGCCCATTTATGGCAGCTGTGCGTGGGAAATACTATTTGGGCATGTGAAGATGCACAATTCCACTGCTGGTGGCAGCATGGTCATAGTCAGTGGCCTGCACTGTGACTCTGGTAGCAGCAGTTAGGTGGAGTGGTGGCTTTGGGTAGGGCTCCAGGAATGAGGAGATACAGTCACTGTTGGGCTCCAGGGCACACATGGTGCAGTCTCTTGGGGGCTGGGTTCTCAAAATGATGCCTTGCTGTAGCTACTTAGAACTTGAGGATTGTTTGGGACCCAGTGTGTGTTTCCTCTCTAAAGCACTGACATCATAGTTGCCAGGCCACTCCGTATGTCAGTTACAGGACTGTAGTGATTAAGGGACTCTTCTGTAGTTAGGACTGCAAGAGACCACAGTGAGAATGAGGACTTCTGGTGCTCTCTCACTTACCCTTTCCTTACACTGGGGAGTCTCTTCTCATTCTGGGGAGTCTGTCCAGGATTGCAGCCAGTCCCGGCATTGCAGGCTGCCTTGCTTCCATCTCCTTCCCTGCTTTAGATGTTTCCTGTCACTTCTTTATTGAGTTCCAGGGTTCTCTATTAGATTATCTATTTGAAGTGTGATTATTTACTCACTATTTTGGTTCTTCTTTGCGGAGAAGCTGAGTGTGAGATGCCACTAGTTAGCCATTACTGCTGGAATATAGGAAAGTGATCATCTTTATTAACCTTGTATCCTACAACCTTACTATCATCATATATTACTCTGAGGAGTTATTGTTATTGTTATTGTTGATTCTCTTGGGTTTTCTACATAGACATTCATATCAACTATGAACAAATGCAGTTTATTTTTCCAATAAGCATAACTTTTATTTATTTTCTTCTCTTATTGCGTTACCTAGGACTTCCAGTACAATGTTGAAAGTAAGTGGTGAGAGGGGACATTCTTTCCTTGCTCCTAATCTTAATAGGAAAGTTTCTAGTTTCATATCATTAAGTATGATGCTAGCTGTAGGTTTTTTTGCAGATATTCTTTACCGATTTGGGGACATTCCTCTCTATTCTTAGTTTGCTGAGAGTTTTCATTATGAATTGTTGTTGAATTTTGTTCTACATTTGTTGATATGATCATGTTCTTTCTTCTTTAGCCTGCTGATATGATGGATTACATTAATGGATTTTTAAATGTTGAACCAGCCTTGTACTGGGATAAATTATGATATTGGCCATGGTGTATAATTTTTTACTCATACTTGGGTTCAATTTGCTAATGTTTTGTTGTGGATTTTTGCATCTTTGTTGATGAGAGTTATTGGTCTTTTTTTTTTTCCTTGCAATGTCTTTATCTGATTTTGGTATTTTGGTGTTGCTGGCCTTATCAAATGAGTTAGAAGGTTTTACCTCTTTCCCTACCTTCGAAAAATAATGTGAAAAATTGTCATAATTTATCCCTTAAATATTTAGTAGAATTCACCACTAAAACTTCTGTTTTTTACTGTTTGCAAGGTTATTGATTACTGATTCAATTTCTTTAATACATACAGCCCTATTCAAATGATCTGTTTTATCTCATGTAAATGTTGGCAGATTGTGTCTTTCAAGAAGTTGATCCATTTCATCTAGGTTAACAAATTTGTCAACATGGAACTGTTCATCGTATTCCTTTATTATCCTTCTAGTATCCATAATATCTGTGATGATATCCTCTCTTTCATTTCTGATATTTGTAGTTTTATTTTTCTTAGCCTTACTGGAGGCTTATCAACTTTATTTACCTTTTCAAATAACCAGATTTGGGTTGTATTGAGTTTCTCTATTGATTTTTTGTTTTCAATTGTATTGATTTCTGTTCTTTTTAAAACATTTTTTCTACTGCTTACTTTGGAGTTAATTTGTTCTTTTTCTTGTTTCCTAAATGGTAGCTTAGATGACTTATTTAAGATCTTCCTCCTTTACTAATATATACATTCGGTGCTATGATCACTGCTTTTGCTGCATTCCACAAATGTTGATTAGTTGTGTTTTCATTTTTATTTTGTTCAAAATACTTTTTAATTCATCTTGAGATT